TGGGGTGGGGGGGGGGGGCGTCCATTAGGGTCGACCTCGCGTCAGTTCCTCCCAACGAACGCCGTTACTGGTGCCGTCGCTGGGTGTGGGATGTTGCTGTGCACCAGCCAGCCCAACACACCGCCTCTCGCTGCTCCGAACCACCCCGTGACTAGACTCGTTAACACCGTTGCCCTGAGGTCGGTATTGAGTCGTCACATACAGGTTGCACTTCCAACATTTTTTGAACCAGGTTGAAGAACTCTTGCTTGAACTCAGTACCTCCGTCAACCAGCCGAGCCCCATGACCACAACCAAGTAAACTTCAGTCCTCGGTGAAACTAACTCATTGACGCAGGCTGTGTCGGGGTCCCCGGCTTCGACAGGGCCGCTGGTGCGCTAAAAACGACGACAGAGTAAACAATCTCGACAGACCTCCTCCCCGTCCTTCGTTATGCCCGGCCATCAAAAAGTATTAGTGACTAGCCTCGATGTCCTCCAACTCGTAGGTAGTGATGGTACGTAATCAGGCCCTTCGACATTACATCGTCACATACACACTATCACTGTGACTCTACACCCACAGCCGATTCGGTGCTTTATGAACGCTCTTCTGCACACTTTCGTCCCCTTTGGCTAACCTCTTCTACCTTTCAATCAGAGACGCTGGCACGCCCTCATACGCTGGCACGCCCTCATACGCTGGCACGCCCTCATCTTGTCCTGGCAGAGTGTGTGTTGCTGGCTGCGCCGGGACGCCAGTTCTCGGGCGATTGGTGATATGCCGGAGCAGAGGCAAACCGGGGTGTGTCCCCATCGAATTTGGTAGCGAAAAGCTGGATGAGTGTCAACAGCGGTGGGACACCCGAGAAGGAAAGTTCTACATCGTGAGAGTCTCCGAGGTGGTCGTTGTTACTCCAGCAGTTCGACTTTGGAATAGAGTACCTGAAGAGTACCGAGAATGTGGTGGCAGACTGGTTGTCCAGAGGTAACTTACGGGAAGATGCGGGAAGATGTTGGGAAAGATGCGGGAAGATGTTGAGAAAGATAGGGGAAGATGTTGGGGAGGATATGTCGGAAGACCGTATCCAGATCAACCCGGAGTTAAGAACTGCGTACTGTGCGGAGAAAGGACTGAGGTCTTGATGTTCTGAAATTCTTGTTCCCGTTCTTCACCTCAAAGAAACTCGGCCTTCTTCTTGAGCAAGTCAGTCATACGAGCAACTCGGTCATACGAGCAACTCTACTAGCGAACTGAGGAATGTGATGTCGATTTTCCTCGCTGGAGCATAGCACACTATAGCACAGTATCCACCCTACAGTGTTTGGTAGCCAACGCATCCTAAAACAACGTCACTCGCGTCTTGGTAAACAAGCCCCTGATGGACCAGCTCCAGCCTCCTCTAAACCCAACTGACTGGGCTCGTCAGCGAGTGAGTACAACGATAGTTGCGCCCATATCTGAATCACTCCCTTCGTGACCATCGCAGCTCCTAACCTGTCTGTAAACTTGGCCACCTGGGTAGTTTCCTTCAACTGTCCATCATCCATTACCGCGTCTGGTCGAGCACTCGTTTTCTCGGCGTTCCTTGTCGACTGTGCGCTTCTTCTCTTCCAGCTGATTGCCCTTCTCGACTCAGGCTGCCCGAACCCGACAATCCTCTCTAAATCATCGACAACTCTGTTTTCATTGCGCGGGATCTTGCTCCGAGGACAACATGTACCCATTCGTCCTCTCCGCAACCATACTCGTCGCCCTTGTACGGAGCAGCCACACGAACCCTGGCCCATGCGAAACGGCGAGCGTCAGGACGGCAAGAAGCCCCCACGCGCCGTAGCGGCTGAGGTCCGCCTTTTCAAGCAAGATGGCGTGAAAGACCCTCGGGGAAGGATGCCGAATGCTTCCCTGGGAGTTATGCCGCCGGCCGCATGCCAGCAAGGAGCCCGAGTGACGGCATCGAGAGTGCTGAAAACTCTCAAAGGCGCAGTTGACGCCGACATTATATGCGGAGTGCGCCGGAAGTGGATGTCCAGGCTGTGGGACCGCAGTTAGCCGCGAAGGTGCTGGGCCAAGAGACAGAGTACTGGTTGTACGCGTTGTAATGACTGGGCGTGGAAGCGAAAGATGAAGGGCCGTAGTCGTTGGCGGCGTAGTCGTTGGCGGCGTAGTCGTTGGCGGCATGCCGTGCGAGCTTTGAGGAAGTAAGGCCCAGCCCCAGCTGTGCAGTGGAAGCACACCCGACTTTTTAGGGAACGCCTACCTACCCCTCCGACACGAATCCAATTCCGCTAACCCTTTTTCGTTATCGTTCTTCTGCAGACCCACTGACAAACACGATTACTTTGACAACTCAGCCACGAGAAGCATGATCCAAGCTTGCGTGGGAACAAGGTACTACAGCTCTTCACGGGACCCTGGATGCCTGTGTGCTGTACACTGTCATCTGTTGACCAGTTGCTTTTTAAAAGTGTGCGCACACTTTTTTTGGGCGACGATTGTTGCGTGAAAGATCAAGCGTTCATGCTTGTGGAGAGGTCGTACGCGGTAGTGAAGAAGCCATGGCGACCCTGCTGGCATCAGCTTGTTCTTCAGCGCCTTGTTTTGCCACATATTTCCTTGCGTCGGAATAAATATCGCGCAACTTGTGAGTGGAGACCAAAATGTAGAATGATTCGGGTCTCTGTAGGGTGGCGGCAATGTGTTCATGGATTTCACCAGTGCTGACGATACGACCAGAGATGAGCTTGTCTGCCACAGTGCGAACCAGTAGCTCCTCCATCCACGCCCATTGGCGCACTTCGTAGTGCTGATAATCAGCGCTAAACGCGGGTACCAGCGGGCCACAACCGCGAGAGTCTGCGGGTATTGCTCGGGTGACTGGTCTTATTTCGGAGTAGGTCCAATGGATCACGCCAGGAACCGATCTGGTAAAACGACCCCCGCAGACTTCATAGTGCCACTAGTTCTTTGGAAACTGATCAACTACGCCGCGTGCATAATCCCGGTGCGGCATCCGGGATGCCGCAACAACAACTCACGACACGTGCTCGGTACAACATCGTGCTCATGAATAAAAGACCAACGGTGTTGTGTTTGTTTGTTGCATCACCCACAGAAAGGTTTTATCACGTTTATATTCTTTCCAGCTTATGTATCGTCCTTAGTATCGATCAGTCAGTTATTAGAAAAATCAGGCGGCATTCATGACTTTGGACAGATCGTACGCGGTAGTGATGAGAGCCAGACCCACCCTGCTGGCATAATCATCAGCTTGTTCTTCAGTCGCTTGCTTTACCACCTCGCGAGTAGCGGCAAAATAAATTCTGGCCAACTCTTCCGTGGAGATAGCAACAGTAAATGGCTGGGGTCCCTGTATGGCGGCGGCAATGTCTTCACGGGTTTCACCAGTGCTGGCGACACGAACAGAGATGAGCTTGTCTGCCACAGTGCGAACCAGTAGCTCCTCCATCCACGCCCATTGGCGCAGTTCGTAGTTTTGGTAATCAGCTATGCTATTGATTTTAACATCGTGGACCACTGGGAATTCAGGAACTACTCCTCCAGACCAAGCCTCCCTAGCTGAAGTTCCAGACGCAGGGAAATAAGCAGATAGCACTTGCTCCTTGCCCCTCCAGCACCCGTACGCATTGCTGTAACGGTCATCCAGCAGCTCACATCGGCTTTGGCCCCCGAACAGCCGGGTCGTCTGAATGAGTTCCTTGTAGCGTGCTTTGATAGTATCCACGTCATTGTGATGCATGGAGTAGGGGTGGCCACTATGCGTTTCTCCGAGTAGCTTGTCGTTGGTGAGCTTGCCAATGTATTGTAAGCACTCCGCTAAATCAGCCGACACACTCTCTGTCACCGTGTCTGGTTGCGCCTGGGGGTCTCCACCAAGCCACAGCGTTGCCACTTGCTGAAGCCGTTTCCCACGGACTGAGATATCAGGAATGTATCCATCAATTGTGAACAGCGACCCCTGTTGCAGAAGGTCAGCCGCCCGAGCGCTCTCAAACGCGGCTAACGGATACCAGCGGGCCATAACTGCGAGATTCCGCAGGGATTGCTCGGGCGACAGATGTTTTCGGCTCGCAACGCAGTAGGCACTATGGACGATGCCAGGAGCCGACCTGCTGCGACGACCTCCACAGTCAATCCCCTCCGGAAACAAATCAGAAACTTTACTGGATTGAAACGAATAGTCTCTGAAGTGAGCGTGGATAAATTGTAACTGGCTCCGGCAAAATAGCTTATAAAACATGTCGCGTGCATGATCCCCATGTGACAGGCCCTCCGGAACGCCACGATGCAGCCATTGCATCGCCGGCAGACCTGCCTGTCGCTGTTCATACTCCTCCAACAGTCGCCGGGTCAGGAAAGGTCCACCGGCCCAGGGACCTGCGGGAACATCTTGTGGAGTGCAGCAATGTTGAAACCACTCGAGAACTTTCTTCGGCCTGTTCTCGTTCTTCCTCATGAAGGGAAAAACCTCCTTACCAACACTACGCAACCAAATATCCCGAGACCACGGGCTGAAAGCAATTGTCGGGCCCGCCTGCGAACTTGAAGCTTGTCCTACCGTGGCACCCGCCAGCACCCCGACAATGCCGGTTTCGAACCAAGCTGGTCCACACTCAATCGTTCTCATGCCGACTTTTTTTTTTTTTTTTCGAACTCGTCATAACCGTCACATGTCCCCTGATAGTCCGGCTGCCAACCATATCCCACTCAGGTGGCGTCCGTTCGCACTTGCGTCGGCCGTGGGCAGTCTTCGGCCACCGCTTCGTTCTCTCAGTAACCGTGCACCACGGGAGTGGCATCAGCGACTGCCTTCCCAGCCGTGATCCCCTATGCTGCCGGCGCTTTCCCCTTTACCAATTTTCGGCCCGCCAGACGCTCTCCGGGGGGACCGTGGGCCTCCCAGGTGCCGTCAACGTGCGCTCTCATCAACTGTGTGCCAGTCGTCTGCCGACGTGCATCTGTCTACGTACACATAGACCGGCGAACTGCCCCCACTCGATTCAGATGACCACAATCCAGGACGCATACTTCTACCAGACCCATGGCACCCATCGATCAACGAGTCTTCGCAAATGATCTCGACCCTGTCAAAGATCCACAAGGATACCTGATGGAAACATCATCAGTTGGCTCAAAGCCGTTAGACCTTACGAGCTCGATAAGGAATATTACTACCCTCTCGAATCCGAACTCCCTTTCGTTGACTCATTAACCTGGCGACCTACGCCCGAGGCAGTCCACCGTAAGTTCTTGGTCAAAAATCCCGTTCTCGGACGGATTCTCGGCAACGTGCCTCTGCAGGAACGGCCCAACACGATCTTGAATAAGTCCAAACTCATGGCTATGGTTCCCGTTCGGAAAGACATTTGCCGAAGGAGGAGACCGTCAAGAGAAGACCGACGAAAAGGCCGTTACTCAAGAATCAAAGTAATGCGCATCAAAGTTATGTATGCCGAATGCTCTCTGACATCTCGTTTAAACTGACATCTCGTTTAAACTCACATCTCGTTTTCACTGACATCTCGTTCTCACTGAGTATCGTCATAATCACATATACTGATGAATCGTAGTGATGCGTTATGGGTTATTGTACGTCTTTTTCGCAATGCCTCGCTCAGTTCCTTATTCATGTCGGCTTCATTTCCCTGCCTGTTCCGTATCTCAGTCTGTTTTAATGCACGGAGGAGTGTCTGCTTCAGGAATGTGTCAAGGACCCTGAACTGACTTGTGGTACTACTATCTCCCGTATTGCCACAGAGCTTCGGGAGTAAACAGCGATGTGGTATAATCAATGGTCTTGCGTTTGTGTTATCCTGAGGTGCGACATTCACGACCAAGCGGATGACCACTTTCATGTTTAGAACGCTTTTCTGGGGTGGTAGGAGCAATTTATCGGTGGACAGTGCTGCTCACCTTTTGACGTAAAGGGTGCTGGTCGTTGCAATGACTAGACATGCCAGCCAAATAATGAAGGTGTGGATAGTGGCGTGCTGAGGGGTGATATCTCCCGGCGAGATCAGGTCGTCAAGCATTTGCATTTTACGGGGCTAAAAAGTGCGGTTTCGGGTTGGGTGTTGAAAGGTGTGTCTGGATACAAGTTGGGCAAGTTGGATACAAGTTGGGCAAGGCAAGTGTTGTTTAAGACATGTTGGATTCGCTGGCTGAGTGTGTGCGGCTAGAGCAAGTTGCGGAAGAAGAGGAGCACGCAAAGTGGCTGAGTGGTGTAACTGTGCAGGAGGCAGAGAAACGAAACTACGGAATGAGTGGAATGGTCGTAACTGATATGACCACTGGGTGGTTCGGTCGAATCCGTTTAAAGTTGGAGAAACTAATTCGTAATGATACCATCACCACCTCGCATAAGAACGGAGAAGTGTTTGCTTTTAAGCCCAGTTGTGGCTCTCAGTACAAGTTCAAAACCTTCGCCGACTTACCTACAATCAGTTCCGGTGTAGTAGTTCGGTGTGACTATACTGGAAAAATTGACATTGCTCTGGAGATGGCGGAGTTTGACAAACTGATAGACTACGTAGAGACGACTGGCTCTTCCAGCTGTGTTGGAAGTCGCTGGGAACTTGCCTTAGTAGGCAGCCAGGTTACGCACAAACTTAGGAACCAAGTAATACACGACCTCCAACACAGGCAAAGAGATCGTCTCCAGCTACCCCTATTTGACCAGCTGCTGCAAGACCATGCTGACATTATTGAACAAGCTCTACAAGCAAAGCACGACATGTCAGTGAATCTCGAGAAGAGCGACAAAGAGGACGGCGACAAAGAGGACGGCGACAAAGAGGACGGCGACAAGGAAGGGAAGCGTAAAGGGAAGCGGGAAGCTTATGAGATGGAAGATAAAGGGGAAAGCTATGAGGATACGAATGGGGAGAATGAGGATACGAATGAGGAGCAGCAAACAAAAGAGGAGTCACAGACCGAAATGTTCGAGACATTGGATCCGGAATTCGTCGCCAGAATTAAACCTTTGATGCGGCATCTTAATCCCAGCCAGCAAAATGCTATTTATAATGCATTAAAATGTTATCCTATTTCTGTTATTCATGGACCACCAGGAACCGGCAAGACAACGACGATAGCGGCATTGATCCACATATTAGCTAGCCAAGGGAACCGTGTTTTGGTGACAGGCCCGTCGAATATTTCTGTGGATAACGTCCTTGGTCTTTGTCAGGATCTTCCATGCATTCGTCTGGGTCATCCAGCCCGTCAGAACCCACTTCTTTCAAAATTTATATTTAGCGAACGCGCGCGAACGAACGATTTTAGCACATCATGTCAGGAAATAAGACGCGAATTGAGTCAGGTAATGAACGTTAGGGCTTCTGGGGAGTTGCGGACGTGTAACGATCCTCAAGTGTTGAAAACATTGAAGGCATTGGTCGGAAAGGACGAGCCAACCCGGAAAAATGTTCGATGCGCTGCAAGAAAGGAGATTGAATCATTAAGGAAGGAATTACATACTCGAGAAAAGCGAATTACAAAAGACGTTTTGGCTACTTATTCACCAGTATTTTGTACCTGCACCGGATCAATGAGTTCCGAATTGAGATCATATGTTTGGAGTTCGGGTAATGAACCTCGCTTGTTTGATTATGTTATCGTGGATGAAGCAGGGAAAGCTAATGCTATCGAGACGATAATGCCCTGCCTGGTGGGTAAGCGGTTGATATTAGCCGGCGACCATAAACAATTGAGAGCTACGTTAAAGAGCAGGGAAGCAGAGGAGAGAGGGTTCGGAATCAGTTTGATGGAGATATTCGCTACCCGAAACCCCGAGATCTGCCGGATGCTGACCATTCAGTACAGAATGAACGAAGATATTATGAACTGGTCCTCCAGAACATTTTACTTGAATTCCTTACGGGCTCATGAGACCGTTCGAAATGCCCTAATCCCCTTTCATCAAAATGACGATGGTCATCAGGATGACGATGGTCATCAGGATGACGATGGCCAGAACGGTGAACAGAACAATGAGCAGAGACACTCATATCCCGCGATGCGCTGGATCGATACGGCTGATGTTTCGCCTTGTGCATTTGAGGAGGGAATGGTTCAAGATGACTTAATGGAGACCAGTAAGTACAATTTGGGAGAGGCGTTTGTGTTGGTTGAGTATTTGAAATCCCTGGCTGACCACTTGGAGTCATTGGATGAGAACAAATTGGATGGCAGCAAGTTTGGCAAACAAGTTACAGTGGGTGTTATCACCCCCTATGCGAGGCAAGTGAAGCTGCTGGAGACCAAAATATCTGAGGTATCATCACAGTTACCCTTTCACTTGTCTGTGTGCACAGTTGATGGGTTCCAAGGTCGGGAGGCTGACGTGATTCTTATTTCGATGGTTCGGAGTAACTCCAAACACGAGATTGGGTTTCTGGACGACTGTGCGCGAATCAATGTATCGGTTACAAGAGCGAAGAAGCACTGCTGCATCGTGGGCGACAGCAGCACTGTGGCGGCCGGAGCTACTGTCAAGAATCTGTTTGACTACTGCGATCAACTCGGCGCCGTGGAGTCTGTGCTGGCTTTCGTCCCCTATCATGAGGTCGCGCGTCTTGAAGCCGTCGAAGACAGCCCAACAGAGGCCGAGGAATCCCGCGCTCCCAAGACTGGGACACCCGATCAGGGAGAAAAACGCGGCGCTGGCGTCAACCGCGGGGCCGGTGCTAAGGGGTCTCCAAACGTGAGAACCGCACCGCGGGACTCCGCCGCCAGAGCTCCAGGGACTGCGGCCAAAGGCCGAAAGACTGCGGCCAGGGGGCGCGGAACTGCGGCCACAGGCCGAGGGGCTGCCGCCAGAGGTCGGGGGACTACGGCTGCCACCAGGGAAGAGGAGGGCTTCAAGGCAGAGGTGGCTCGGAAGCTGAAGAGCGTGACGAAGCCGGGAGAGGAGCTAGTGTTTGCGGGGCTGAGCTCATACCAGCGGGCGGTAGTCCACGAAATGGCCTCCGCCTTGCTGCTGCTACACACAAGTGCGGGCGAGGGGTCTGAGCGGACGTTGGTGGTGAAGAAACCGGCCCTCAAGTTGAATGTCGAAGGGTCGCAGGCTAGGGGGTCGGAGACCAGGGGGTCGGAGGCCAGGCGGCCGGAAGCCGGCGGGCTGCCCCGTTCTGAGACCGGCAGGACGCCGGCGAGTACATTCGTTGACCTCTCCGTTTCTTCGGAGGACGGCGGCGACGAGGTGGAAGGGAAGCAGGACGTTGTGGTTAATGAAGTGGTCGAAGACAGCCCGTTACAGCTGCTGCCGTCGGAGCAGAGGCAGGCCAAGCCTCTCTCCAAGAAGGAGCGCGACAGAATCAAACGAGACCAACAGCGCGAGCTGAACAAACAACGGCTGCTGGAGCGAGAACGGATAAAGAACTGTAGGCCAGCACGGAAAGGGTTGATCACAACAAGAGGGGGGACCACATGGGGCAGACGGGAGGGGATCATTCATCACGTGGAAGAGAGGACCACCTGGGAGAGGGGGTAAACATTCGCGGGCAAGGGAACGATTTCTGTAGCTGGTTTGTGCGGTAAGGACGGTTGCAAGGTGAAGGTGACGATGGTGAAGGTGCATTGTCGTGGTTGTGACTTGGAGTATTGTGTTGGGCACCGGTTGCCGGAGGTACACGGGTGTTCGAAAAACTTTTTTTGAAATGGATGAGTTTGCCTTCGACGGGTATAGGCAGTTGCAGTTGAGGGACTTTCCCAATGCGAGCCAGGCCATTCTGTTGTTGGAGAGGGACGTTTGGTGGCTGAAGCCGTTTTATCTGCCGTTTGAGAAGAGTTATGACGGGGTAGGTCTCCTGTTGTATTCGCGGACGAATTATTGGCTGGCGCCGACCTTCTGTTTCCTCTACCTGCTGTTCATCTGGTGGGGACCCAGGTACATGGCGGACAAGACACCGTTCAAGTTACAGGCCCCGCTCAAATACTGGAACCTGCTGCTAGCTGTCTACTCTGCCTGGGGCGCTTCACGCGTACTGCCGCACATGTTTGTACAACTCTATAAATTCGGATGGAACGCTTCGCTTTGCTCACCCCCAGTGTTTACCTATGGCCGCGGAGCGGTAGGATTATGGACCGGACTGTTCGTCTACTCTAAGGTACGCCGCTGAGGGGTAGACCTGCGTGAACGAGGGCTCATCCCGCTTCCTCATCCTTCTTGAACTCTACTCTTTTAGTACTTTGAGCTGATCGACACCGTATTTATTGTTTTACGGAAAAGGAATCTGAACTTTCTGCACTGGTATCATCACGTCACCGTCCTGATGTATACCTGGGACGCATTCGCCTCAGAACAGCCACCTGGCATGTTCTATTGCGGAATGAACTACGCCGGTAAGTCTATGGAAACCTTCATTCCCGAAATCCAGTCCCCCATGGATTGGTTCCCTCCACAGTAACCAGTTTCATGCCACGCGAAGGATAATGTGCTTTTTGTAGTGCATTCAGTCATGTACTTTTACTACTACTTGGCCGCTACCAGGTCGCGACCTCCGCGGTGGGGTGTCGTGGTAACGTTAATGCAGATTGCACAGATGATTGCTGGGGTCCTGATTACAATCGTTTCCCTCCACAATGCCTTCACGAAGCCGTTCATGCAATACTCCACGGCAACTATCGCGATGGACCCGGCTGACATGGGCACATGCTTTATTTCAAAGACAAACATGGTCTCGGCAGCGGCCATGTATTCCACCTACTTTTATTTGTTCGCAAAGTTCTTCTACGTCCGATACATCCAAAAGAAGGGCGGTGCCAGCAAGAAGCACTTGAAGAAACGCGAGTAGATCGATTGGACCAAGACCTGCGTGAACGGGGGCGGCTTGAATCCGGTCGGATGGTGGTTCGTCCACAAGGTACGAACGCAGAACAAAGCCCGTTTCGTGTGTTGTCCGACGTACTAGAGTCGAAACGGTGTCCAACCGATGGAAGATCCTAGAAAAAGACCGATAGCGAGCAGCCCGTGTCTTGACATTCAGTGTCGAGTGTTTGTACAGCACCATCTGGTACAGCACCACCTGCTACAACACCATCTGGTACAGCACCATCTGGTACAGCACCATCTGATACGGCGTCGACGAATATAGCATCGCCTGGCATGGGGAGGACTGCAAAGAAAACAGCTAAGGAAAAGTGGAATTATTAGTGGAATGAACTTGGCCGAAGGGAAAGCACCTGCCTGTCTGGATATTCCTGGTCCATCCCCACTCGCTCGGATATTCGTATTTAGTTGCAAGAAAAAGTTAGCTAGTCAGCGACCCAGTCAGTCAGCGATCCAGTTATTATACTCATTCAGCGAGGCTAGCTACCCTAGTACGTACGGAGCAGGACGAATTTTCAGTCGTGGCCAACTAAAAAAAATGAACGGGGGTAGAATGCGAAACAACGTGTTGCTGGGCTTGGTCGATGGGTTGTACAGATCACTCCCAACCTCTCCCCCAACCCCTCGGTTCTACATGTCCCTAGCGGGACGAAGTGCAAACATATATACGTCATAAAGATGGGTTGGCCATTGACGTTGCTTGGCTATGTGAATGACGCTAAGTTTCGCACGCGCGAAAATCTCCTGCCAGTTACTCATACTCCTAGCGAAAGAATGATCAACTTCGTCAAACTGCGTAGCATCATCTGCACTCACATTGTCCTTAATACCTACGAAGCCGTTGGGACAGTGCAGCACAAGCTTCCCCAAAATTTTCACCAATTTGTCGTCAGGAACGTACATGGTAACCCACTGAAGCCAGATGCAATCGTAGTCCGAACGAATTGCATCTGAACCCAGGTCTTCTATGCACCTATCTATATATCGGACTTCATTTCTAGGCCCCAAAATCCGCTCAGCAGTCTCAAGTAGTTTTTTCACCGGCTCAACCAGATCCACACGACCATACATGGGCAACAACAAGTACTGTGCTACTCGCCCAATGCCTGCTCCGATGTCAAGAGCCCTCTGTTGCTTCACAGTCACCTTCCACTTTCGCAACCGGCGACCAACCAAATTCAAGAACTCCCTGGAACCTCGAATATCCAAAGAATGCAAGTGGCCATAGCCACCCAGCACACCGTCCACCGATGCCGGCTGCCGTCTCCAGTAATCCAAAACTGCTGCCTCCAGCTGTGGCTCGTCCTGTGCCTGTGGCTCATCCTGTGCCTGTGGCTCATCCTGTGCCCGTGGCTCATCCTGTGCCTGTGGCTCATCCTGTGCCTGTGGCTCATCCTGATGGGACGCCGTCGTTATCGGCGACCTCTCGTTAACGCGATGCGTGTCGATACCACCCGCTTCACTGCACTCCTCCACCGTCCCACAGTGGCCGGAAGGAGCCGCCTCTTCACCCCGTCCCAGCAGGGTGTCCATAAAAATATTATGTACTGCACGGGCCAGGCATGAGTCCTCAACCAACCAACCTCGACAAAAGCATCTAGCACGTCTCAGGGTGATCCCGCCCCGTTGTCTTGGAGCACAATTAATTCCGGGTCGTAGAGATTCAATCCTTCGTGTTAAAAGTCCCACACTACCAGCAGCGAATTTCAATCGAAAAAGAATTGTCAGGTTGTTGTTTTGGTTGATATTCCCGAACTGCTATTGCTGCTACGAAAGCATTGCCACCACTGACTTTATTGCCAACAATTTTATCCATCGTCGCTGAGGACACTGGTGATGGCTTGAACCGTTGGATTTGAAACAGCCCTTGGACTGAAGAAGCCCTTGGACTGAAGAAGAGTTTCTGGAAGGTAAGGTCTAGTGAGTGCCATTATGCTGTGTAAGTTCCTCCTCAGAGTAGTGGACCAGATGTACAATATCTTCGATAGCGGTCATGATGTCATTATTCAGTTCCAGTGTGTGCCAGACCCGGAGCACTTCGTAGAGATTAAGGGAGCGCGCGATTTCGCGGGCATAGTCGACCCTGAAGAGGCCTGTGAAGCATTCGACTGCGAGTTTGCGGCAGGCAACGTCCGGTATGAGCCCAAAGGCGCCGGCTTGGATGAGTATGTTTACTTCTCTGGACAAGTTAGAGGATTGTTGGGTGCCTACCAGGCCCGCTGGTGCCTGGTCTATAACCTGGTCGTTGTCGGGGGGGTAGACCATTCTGCTAACCATGATAAGGACGGCGCGCACGTCTACGGTCCGTTCCTCGATTAGTACATTGTCGCAGCAGAGGTTCTTGACTACGGACAAAATGAGTACGGCCCGCGCGGGCGACCGACACTGGTTCGTTAGCACTTCCCAGAAGGAGGCGTCAATTTTCGAGAACCATTGGCGACCTTCCTTGGTAGCCGTCAAATTAACCAAGATGCTTCCCACATAGTCTCCGGCTTCGCGACTGATCACTGTCGCCGTGGGGCGTCCAGAATCCGCAAAGTAGCCGAAAATCCGCCACAGGAACACTTCTTGCTGTAGCAAATACTCCACAGCTTTTTCGTTCCGTGTTATGTTTGCTAACAGCATAAAAAGCAGTTTCTCAACCTCTGCAGGACCTGTGACGTGCCGCTCACCCAGCTCCTCACACAACGTAGCTAAAAAGGAAGCTTGGGCCAGTTCCGCGTCAAAGTGCTCGCTGAAGTTTACCAATGCGGACAGAGCCTCTTCGCTCCCAGCCCCAGGCGCCCGCTGGGCCAGCCTCCACAACGCCCAAAGGTATTCGCTCGCTAACTCCTTGAAGTCAGGTCCAAGCTCCGCAGGGTCGCTCGACAAACCCAGCAGTATCTTCGCCGCCTCATCGCGCACTGCTTCCTTCTCGCTTTTCAGGTATTGCAGCAACTCTTTATATACCATCACGGCAATTTTTATGGACAAAAAAACACTAACCACACGCTATGTTGCCATGACCTGGTACGGAACATGAACAACGGAAATCCACCGCTTTGCTACTCAGGAACTCACAAGGAATGACTAGCGCTAAACTCAACGCAGCAATACGGAATATTGTTGAAATTCAAGCTGGAGCGCTCGGAGGTGTGGGCACGTTGCTGGATGTCGTTCACGTTGATTCTGACAAGAAAATAGGCATAGTCAGCTGCCATGTCAAGTAAGTTCTAAGTACTACAAACGATCTGACCATTTTAGTCAGGAACACGCTTTACGCTCCGCCATCATGATGAACCGGCTGAATGATGGAACAAGCTTCAAGGTACTCGATTCTGCGTCCACTGTGTCAGGCTTGAGCGTCCTATAGAACACAGCGGAATTTCAAAAATGCGCGCGCGATACAAACACGCGCATTTTTGTTCCGGAGCAAACAGCTGGCGATTCTGAATTTTTGAAATGAGGAAGTTTGTGACGCTATTTGCTACACTGCAAGCAGTAGCTGAACAGATTGAGGATGTCTACGACGAGGTTGCTCCGGAAACGTACTTGAAGCTGGGAGGAGCCAAGAGCGATGAAGGCGTCTCCCAGAAGCAGCAAGGAATGGAAATAATTCAGGTAGTTAGTGCTAAACCGCCGCTTGAAAGCCTGCTCCGATCCAAGACCAAGGATAAGAAAGGGCCTACTATTCCTTTTGAAAGATCGCCTTTGGAATGCACCTGCCCGGACACTTATCAGCTGTTCGGGGATCGCTGTGAACGGATAGTGGAAATTCCTCAGTCCACAATGTGCCACCAGGGCTCTGAGTTGCTCAATAACGTTTGCCTCCGTTCTGTGATCCCTGAAGAAAGATGTCCGTACGGATATGCGACCGTCAATAACCGCTGCATTCGCCGCGAAGTTTCCGTGCCGCGAATGGCTTGCACTGACGGTTATACGTTGGAAGCATCGGCGGGTTTGACTAAGCATGACCCAGCTCTGGTCTGCGTCAAACAAATTCAGGTGGACAATATCCTGGAGTGTCCTGATGGCACCCGATATAACGGCACCTGTTCAACCTACGAGAATGTTCCCGCTGAATTCACATGCCCGGGTGGATATGATGATCTTGGGAACGGTACATGCCGTCGTGTGACGAGCGTGCCTTGCGGCGCCGAACACCACCATCATGAAACCGGGCAAAAGACCATGCTCACTCCGGTACCTAAGAAGCGCTTGCTGTCTGAAGAGGAAGGAACTGTGATGACGAGAATTACTGTTCCGCATGAATCTCCAATGAGATCGGTACCAGTTCCTGGAACTTTGCGCGGGAAATCTGAGACCGGCGCGTACCACAAGTGGCACCAGACTCCTGTGCACGACCATCCCAAAAGCTTTGAGGTGATTGATATCGAGCAGACCTGTGTTGCAAACATCACAATCCCGGCCACGCCTTACTGCCCGGTGGGTGACTTGCATGGAAGGCTGTGCCAGGTGCCGGTTCCTACCAACCCGATTGAAGTGTGTCCTGCTTATGGCAACCCGAACAACTGTTTCGCGTTTGACAGGCAGAACCCCTTCGCGACCTGTCCGGAAGGTTATAACCAGGAGTGCGCGATCTTGAAGCACCACATTGACAGTTACGTTGACTGTGAGTGTGTGAGAGTGGAAGAGCGTCCAATTGAGTTGTACTGTCCTTCGGGATATAATTTGGAAAACGGATACTGCACACTTCGAACTGAGCCTTACAGAGGTTGCACGGGCTTGGCGCGTCCGGTGGACGGCATGTGCCAGCGAACGGAAAGTTCGCCGGCAGTGTGTTCGTACACAGTGAGTTACACTTGCGACGGACCTTCTTGTTCGACGCAGTCACAGCACCCTGCCCAGAAGGAGAAGAAAGATAAGGCTCAGCACCACTAATTTGTTTTTTTGGCAATTAACGGCTCGTTATGGAAGCGCATTCATTGATACCGGGGCAGGCGAACCAGCGAGTCGTTCCGAGCGACCGGGCACTGCAGGTGGGGCAGCTGGAGTCGCAGTTCCGCCGGTTGAACCAGTTGTGGGACACTGCTTTGGGGGTTCACTGGCACTCGACTAGATTGCCGGCTCGGCTGGATCAGGCTGAATGCGGTTTGAAGGAATTGCAGAAGTCGATTGACGGTAAGTGGCGACGTTGATGGTGGAAGAGTTGTGTTGTAGTCCGCCACGACGACCTTGCTTGTTTGCGCGAAGATGTAGATAGATTAGTTACGAAGGAGAGAGAGGCGCACGAGCGGTCGGCGAGGTTGGTGAGAGAGTTGGGCGAGAAACAGAACAGCCAGAGCCGGACTCGGCAGGAGCAGTTGCGGCTGCGGGACGAGACGAACCAGTATCACGACGAGAGTGAGCGGCTGGCGGAGGCGATTCGGAGCAGTAAGCGGCGGGTGAAGGAGTGCCGGTTGAAGGTGAATGTGGAGGCGGCGGTATTTGCGAACGCGACGGGTGTGGTGGAACCGGAGTTGATGTGCGGCGCGAGCGGCGCGGCTGAGCGCGTGTTGTTCAGTAAGGAAGGGTGGAGGGTGCGCCCGTTGTGCGGGGGGAGGGGTGCCTGCTGCCTAGAGGGGGCGGAGGGGGGTGCCTGCTGCCTAGAGGGGGGGGGCACTATTGCCTGGGGAAATTGCCCGCTGCCCATTTCCCAGAGGGGGGATGGGTGTCCGTTGAAGGGGGATGCGTTGTGAGTATTGTTGCAGAGTTTGTGGACAAGGCGGGTTCGTTCTGCGGCGGGTTGCAGTCAGTGTATGAGGACGCGTGGCAGGCGTTGTGTGCGGAGGTGGGTTTCGAACCGCGTGCATGGTTGCCGGCGGGTGTGGAGCGGCCGTTGAGTCGGGCGAAGCGTTTGGCGGAGGGTCCGCCGTTGCCGGGTCAGTTGGCCCCGAAGGACGAAAAGCGTAAGTCGATTTTTATATGACGGTGGCGGCTCGGATTGCGGCGCACACACACGTGCAAGGTCTGGGTTTGGACGCGGATGGGCGTGTGATTCCGGGGACGGCGACAGGGTTGGTCGGTCAAGCGGCGGCTCGGGAGGCGGCCGGTCTGTTGATGGACTTGGTGCGTGCGAAGAAGTTGGCGGGCAAAGCGGCATTGTTGGCCGGGCCGCCGGGTACGGGGAAGACGGCGATTGCCTTTGCGCTGAGTCGTGACTTGGGTAGCCGTGTGCCGTTCTGTGCGTTGAGCGCGGCGGAGGTGTATTCGCAAGAGGTGAAGAAGACGGAGATTTTGACGGAGTGTTTCCGACGCGCAATTGGGTTGCGGATCCGCGAAGTGAAAGACGTGTATGAGGGCGAGGTGCTCGAACTCTCTGTCGAGGAGACAGAGAATCCCCACGGCGGTTTCGCCAAGGCGATGTCGGCAGTGGTCGTCGTGCTCAAGACGAGTGCGGGCACGAAGACCCTGAAGCTGGCGCCGCAGATCCACGAAGGTCTGCAGGCGCAGCGTGTCAACGTGGGCGACGTGATCTACATACAGGCGCAGACGGGCTATGTGAAGCGACTGGGACGGTGTGATGCCTACGCAGCCGAAGTGGACCTGGACACGGAAGAATTTGTGCCCCTGCCAAAGGGTGAGGTGTTCAAGAGCAAGGAGGTGGTGCAGGACCTGACGCTGCACGATCTGGATGTGGCGAATAGCAAGCCACAGGGTGCAAGTTCAGACATCGCCACCGTGATCTCGCAATACCTGACTCCGCGGAAAACGGAGATCACTGACCGACTTCGACGGGAAGTGGACAAAATCGTGGATAAATACATTACTGATGGACTCGCCGAGCTGAGTCCCGGTGTGGTCTTCATCGACGAAGCACATATGCTCGATCTCGAATGTTTCGCGTTCCTTAACCGAGCAGTCGAATCGGAACACGCACCTGTGCTCATTCTAGCCACGAATCGAGGCGTCTGTCGAGTGCGAGGAGCACTAGACATCACCTCACCCCACGGCATACCCGTCGACTTCCTGGACCGTCTTCTTATCATCAAAACGGTGCCTTACACCGTCGAGGAAGCCATCACAATCATCGGCATCCGCGCGAGAACTGAAAAGACGGAACTCACACCCGACGCGCTCCAACGTCTTGGCGAGATCGGCAGTAACACCTCTCTGCGTTACGCCAACCAACTCCTCGGCCCAGCAGCCATCATAGCAAGAACACAACAACGTGAACAAGTTACCAAAGAAGATGTTGATGAAGCAGACTCCCTATTCTTGGACGCCAAAGCCTCAGCACAAAGACTCATTAGAGAGAAACAATGGTTCGCCTAACAAGTTGTCACGCATGTGGAATGTCGCATGAGAGAGATATATATTCTTTTTATACCGAATAGTTGTGTCTGGAACAGTTAACCTTCACTGCGGATTAGTTTTCCGGAAGAAGGAATAGTCGAACACGGTTTGCACTATGCTCCTGGTCTTGTGTCTGGTAGCGACAATGAGTTTCGGCCTGGTGGAGTTGTTAACTCGCGTGAATACCATACCTTTAGATCTAATAAAATGGTTGTTTAAGACCCGTGAGAACCCTTCGGGAGGATTAGACCTACCTTTGGACTCGCGTGTGTTGGCGATGTCCGTGTTCGGCGACTACTTCGACTCAGCCAAGAAACGGCCGCCCATGAACGAACGATGCGTCACCATGTACCTCTCAAACCCGCTTTGGGCCGAACGATACGCGGAGAAGCTAAGCCAGGAACTGGCTGCGGAAGTCGAGGTGTTCAAAACTGGTCTGGACCTAGATCTTGCCTTGGACCTGAAAAGGGACCTGAAAAGGGACCTGAAAAGGGACCTGAACGAGGACATGGAAGACGCTACTGACGGTGAAGCCCCTAAGGGACAAGCCACTGACGGTGAAGCCATTAAGGGACAAGCCACTGACGGCGAAGCCCCTAAGGGACAATCCACTGAGAGTCCTTGGATTTCATTGGTATCGGCTCCCGAGGAAATAGCTGAGATGACGGAACAGCAGCTGGAATGTTTATTGTATTTGGGCCGGGCTCCGAACAGAATACCCCTGGGTCAGGTGTACGGCCGGGTCTACTCCAGTTTTGGGCGTCCTCTAATTAATGACATTGCACAGGCCTTTTGGGGCGGGAAGACGATAGTGAAGACGCAGTGTGACGACGGAAGTCCGTTGTACGTTAGCTGCAACCAACTGGGACTCGGAACTGGCGGCTTCGCCCACGTTACGCTGGGCTACAGTCCCACCAATCCCTTCATGGGCGTATATCCCCCCGAGGTGATCGACACCGACCAATGGCTTTGGATCGACTACACCGAGGATTTCGGGAAGCTCTGCCCGCCGAAAATTCCGAGACATTACATGAGCACCAACACCACCCTTCCCGACATGCTTTCCAGCCGCGCTATGCCGCCCAACATGATGCCACCAGGTTTTCTGGCGCCGAAAAGGTTCGTGGGCTCACCCAAAAAGGGAATGCTGGTCCCAGCCCATCTCTCGGCCGGGATTTTTGACAACGCGTGGCCTGGTAGGCTGGTGGTGGACCAGGGACGTTGGATCGGAAGAGATCGCGAAATGGGCACTGATATATATTTATTCAAATCCATGCTCGTCTTCCCCGAAGGGTTGCGACCCGTGCTCTGGTTCAACCTCAAATGCGCCGACTTGCTTGACATCCCCAACATCAAATACAGAAACGAGTCGCCGGAATGAGCACGCAAGCAACGCATGGCGAGCACAAAATCCAATTTTCCAAATTAATCACACGTGTGTGCTCGCGATAATTGGATGAAGTGGCTGCTGACTGCTACCCTTTCCCTCGCCAGCTTCGACCCTTTTACCAGCACCAACAGTTTAGCAGCCTCCATTCCCCTTTGGTGGTCTGGAAACAGGCAGGCCGCCTTCGGAGGCTGGAACACAATTAGATCGTCGCGTTCGCGAGCCGCAATTCAGCGCGGCGGCTATTATTTCAACGGCTTCAGAAAACCCCCAACAGACAACTCTCACTGCGCCGATTTGTATTATCAGCGGCTAGCATGGAAATATAGATACGACGAACTGACATCAAATTCCGAACTGACATCAAATTCCGAACTGACATCAACTTCATTGACATCAGATTCACCGGAGACTGAACTAGAAGGCGCGAAATCACCTGCTGAGGAGGTGCGGTTTTCGCTGATTGATGGTCGAGAGGAGTTGGAGAAGCTTTCTGAGCAAAGTCTGGAGTGTTTGCTGTTTCTCGGGTACACCCCTAGTCACATCCCGCTGGGTCCACTGTACGGGCACGTGGAGTCGTGGTTAGGCATTCCGGTGTTCATGGATACAGCGAATTTAATGTGGAATGGGGCGATGATTACAGAAACTCGATGCGATGGTGCGAATGCTACCGCTGTGCTCGGTTTAAGTCAACTCGGTACGGGTGTCGGGATGCCCTTCCTTAACTACATTGCTGTGAACCCCGCGGATGAGGCGATAGGCTTCTATCCCCAGGAAATTATTGACACTCGCAAGTGGTGGTGGATGGACTTTGCGGCCGACTTTGAAAAGCAATGCCCAAACAAAGTACCCCGCTTCTACGACGCCGTTGTAGTTGAAAGCGTGTACCCTGCAACGAAGAACTTGGTGTGGGCGAAATTTCTCAAGACTGAGGCCACGTCCAACTCCGCATCTGATCCGGCACCCAATCAAACAAAATACCCCTCCACCAAATCTCCATGGTGGTGGCTGCCGTCATTAACGGGTCTCAAGGGTTCCAAAAAGCCCGTTTTCGGGCCATTATTTCCTCCCCAAGTGTACACGTCGGGAGCACTGGGCAATTCCATTCCGATACGTGACCGCCTTACTCAGGTCCGTTGGGTTGGTTACGACAAGGAAGTGGGGGTCGATCTCTATTTGGGACGGGTCCTGGCACTGTTCCCTGAGGGTCTAAGAACCACTATGTTTGTTTCTTTCGCCACATTCGATACTGAGGTTTCAAAAGTGGAGGTGCCGATCTTAGCTAGCTAGTTAGTTAGTTAATTATTCAGTCCGTTAGTTAGTTGATTGAAGTGGAATCACCACCATCTTCTGGCTGGCAATTCTTTTATGCCCCTGACGGATATTGACCCGAGGTTATTCGGGCTCTGGGAAACTAAAGTCAGAGAAGCTAACTACTTATTGTTTAATCCCAAATTGAGTCTGTGTCTGTTATTTGAAGCAGCGAAGTTGAAAGTGAAATGTTTCTTGTGTGGTCAAGTGTCATGTAATCACCCTGTCTCGTTTGAGTGGACGTATCATCACGGAGATTCAGATTTTCATTTGGAGGCTACGAAGAACGCGGGCAAAAACGTATATATGGGTACACTGACGAATAGAGAAACAGGGCGCAAACGCGTGTGCAGGTTGTTAGAATTTGGATCGTTTGGGGATAGTGCTGAACTCTGCCCGTTTTGCCCCCGTCTGGCTGAAGGGATGGGGACCAGGAGTTCTCGATATCGAACGCGTAGCATGACGATAAAACGTCAAAGGATGGAGAAAAGTACGACTCAGAACTCCGTCACTCAGAACGTGACGGAGGGAAAAAACAAAACAACGCTGGTTGAACCCCCGGCAGCTAAACATGTACAATACGGGGTAGTGTGGATTGGTCGGACATCGACGGGGTATAATATAATTGAGGATCCAGGAGGCGACATTGAGCGTGCGTTTCGAGCATATTCTGCTCAAAATGGTTTGGAATTAGCTGAAGACAGCGAACAATTAGATTGGAGTAGTAGTGGTGGTGGTAGTGGTCTGAGTGGTGGTGGTGGTGTGAGTAGTAGTGGTGGTGTGAGTGGTGGTGCTAAGGTTGAGACAATGAGTTCTTCTCCGACGAGTAAGTCTGAGATTACAGCTAAACTAAATTATATAGATACTGACAATGAATTGGGGTTGCTTCGTGGTTACTATTCCGACCAGCCGTCCCTCCCTTCAATACACACGGGATTAGGCGAGATCAGCTTTAATGACTTTACATTAGCTTCCTTGGGCGTTCATGCAACTGGCACAGATATCGTGTATCGTCTGAGCTGGGCCGTGCACGAAGTGGAAGGTTGCTTATTGCTGTCGACATGTTTGCTCTACCACCGGCCGCGGACGCCCGTGCCAAGTTTCCTTATAGCCGCTGATTCCAGTCAAGTGCGTGCGTCAAACGTGCCATGTTCGCGGCTTTGCATGAACGAGTGTGGCCACGACGAGGTGTGCGGTCTCGTGCGTTATCGCCGCGCTAAAAAGGACCCACACGAAGCCGCGAAACTCATGAACAAACTCTTCCGACCTTTCGTCAGTCCCGCCCATTGCGCCCCCGAAGTCGGACCAGACGAAGTCTGTACCATCTGCCTTGACACTCTCCTTCCAGACCTCCTTCCAGACTCCTCCCAGCCAACAAATAACTCCACGGCGGGTGGCGCCACCGTTGCCCTTGGCACGGGACAGCACACTCGTTCTGGAACGGGACAGCACACTCGTTCTGGAACGCGTTCGCGGAGGACAAGTCTTGAGCGATCGGGTGCCATGACCATTGTAGGCATGCCTAACTGCCGACACTGGTTCCATCGTGTCTGTGTACGTGAGTATGTCACGCGTGTGGCATCCACGATTGTGGATAGTGTGCGGTGTCCCGTCTGTCACACCATGCAAACACGTTTGTATGGCAACAGTCCGAAAGCGGCGATGCGTTGGACGCTCGTGCGACGTGACTTCCTCCGCGTCGTCTTCAGCGTACTCGCTGGCATACAGGTACCCCACCTGCATCCGCATCCTGGTGAGAAACATAAGGCCTGGGTCGCCTGCGTACTCGTACCCCTAGCTGAACCACACGGTCCAGAGACCTTCTTCGTCCTCAAAAAAGCCTTCCTCATGGGCCAACTACTCACCATACAAGACGCACCCGGAGACACCGTCGGCTTCGCATACAATCTCAAACTACCCACCGCATTCCCTCACGACCGAAACAGAAACGGCGCGAACACGACACCAACCGACACACCAGACAGAACCCAAAATGCAAGGGGCAGAATCCAAGACACAGGCGGCAGGAGCGTCGGGAGCCAAACGGATGTCGGCCGGCTGTGCCAGCAGGCACTGGACAGGCTGCGGAGTGTAGGAGTCTCTCTAACGGAGCATGAGAGGCGGGAGCTGGCGAACCTGTGGCCGCAGGCGGGTGTTGGGCGCGACTACTTGGGACCAGACGGTCTCGGACGTGAGACGCTGGGTCCGATTTTGAGCGATTTTCTGGCGATGCACGCGGACGGTGCCGAGACGGATGAAAGCGCTGACGAGGAGGACGAGGTCAGCAGCGCGGAACTCGAAGACCGGGACTGGCGCAATCTGGAACAGTACGAGGACTCCAGCAGCGCACCCGAGGCAGAAGAAGACGACGACAGCAGTGACAGCAGCAGCAGCAGCAGCAATCAAGACACACCGCACCGGTCGCGATCGAGACTCAGCACACGATCCCGAACTGCCAGACAAGCCGCCGACAGTCGCTCCCGGTCCCACAGCCGGTCACGGTCCCGGTCCCGATCAACAGGACGATCTCCGGCGCTTCGAGGAGCAGCCGTCAAGGCCGCCGCTGCCAAGGCTGCTGCCGGTAAGACGGCCGCGGCCGCCAGAGCGACTGCTGCCAAGGCTGCCGGTGCAAGGACGAGGCCGGCCGTCGCTATGGAGAGACGCGGCACGGCACTTGAGACGCACAGTATGCTGACCCGATCGAGGCGCGCGGAGATCGCGGAGGAGACCGCCTCTCTGCTGGCCGATGTCCCGGCTGCCAACACCCGGTCCCAGAGCGCCCGAAGAAGGGCTCTTGGCCTGGCCCCAACACCGGGCCTGACCCTGGGCACGGGCTTCGAGTCGACGGCGTTGGAGGCCGCTCAGCCTTCACCTTCCGGCGACCTCTGCGATCAAGCCCTAAGGCCGGGTGGCAGGAGAAGGAGCAGGCGGTAGGGACCCAGGCGGTAGACGGGCACCAGGAGCAAGCAGGCAGGCGTGAGCAGGCAGGCAGGCAGATGGTAGCTTCTTGGGAGTACGTGTTCACTGTTGACTAAAAATTGGCGCTGGTGTTCGTGATCGCGCGGTCTAGACACCGGTCGCGCGGTCTAGACACCGGTCGCGCGGTCTAGACACCGGTCGCGCGGTCTAGACACCGGTCGCGGACGCGGGCCGTCCTTGAGGGGTCTTGCGGGCGGGGACACGCCGGTGGACGTCGGCAGTCCTCCTAACCGGGGAGTCCTATGTGGCGGGGGCCGGCGGGGCGGGGGCCGGCGGGGCGGGGGCCGGCGGGGCGGGGGCCGGCGGGTAAGGTGTGTCTAAGTTAGTCTTCGAGGAAGTGGGCGTCGGCGGAGATATCAGAGGGGGTAGTAGACGCTTCGGACTTGGCTGTGTCGTCTTCGGAAGCGAGATCTGCGCCGGCGGAGCCAGGTTTGTTGAATCCGATGGGATGGATTCGGATACGATAGCCAACGTTGGAGGAACCTGACTGAAAGAACATCAAATGTTCCCCGTTCACGTTAATGGTGCGCAGGTCCACGGTGGCGTCGGGGTCGAGCGCAATTGAGATGGAGCCTTTGGGATTAGTGGTGTGGTCGCGGCACAGATTGACACGCAGCCTCTCCTGTGCATTCGAGGTTATTGTTGGCGGCCCGAACGACTGCTGCGGAACCAGGACACCTTTTTCTTCGAACTTGTTGATCAAGTCACGTACCGATGTCTGCCGCAACGGCGCCGTATGCCACAGACCCACACGACCCTGTTCCACTCGCGCGTCCGACCCCCCGAAAGCACCAGCTCCAGAAAGGGCGCTGTGACCACTCGTCATCGTAGTCCGACCAGTCGCAGTGCGGCCGGTCACGCTGCCAGTAGTGGTCGTAGTCGTAGTCAGACCGCCAGTAGTGGTCATACCCGTGGTGGCCCTACCGGTGGCGGTCCGGGCACCAGTAGCCATCCCGCTATGACCGTTCAAGGCACCGCCTATCGAGATCATCGCGCCACCGACAGAAGTCATGGCGCTTCCGACGGAGGTCAAGCCGCCGCCGACGGAGCCGGTTGCCGGGCTCCCCACAGGAGTGTACTCGCCCAGTGAAGCTCCTCCCCCCAGTGAGCCGCCTCCCAGTGAAGCACCTCCACCCAGTGAGGTGCCTCCGAATGACGTCAATCCCATAGATGTCATCCTCCTCGTGCTAATTATAAAAAATGCGCATTGTCATCCAGAGGTGCGTCAAGGCCTCTGTGGAAGTGGCTGGGGAAACCGTAGGCTCTATCGGTCAAGGCCTGATGGCCCTCATCGGAATCGAGCGGAACGACACTTGGATCGAATGCGAATATTGCTTGCGACGACTGATCAACGGTCGCTATTTCGACGCTGACCCCGTACTCAGCGAAGCCACACGCGCTTCGGGCACCCGTGAACAAGTGGCCACCAAGGCTTGGGCAAAGAGCGTGAAAGACATGGATCTGGAGATCCTCATAGTCTCGCAGTTCACTCTCTACGGGAGACTCACGAAAGGTTCCAAGCCCGATTTCCACAAGGCCATGAAGGCGCCGCAGAGTGAAGAGATGTTCAACAAGTGTGTCCAGTGGGTCAAAGACAACTACAAACCAGAGAAAGTACAAACCGGAGCCTTCGGACGCTATATGCGTAATACTGGACACCCACACCAGACCTGGCACTGTTCTATGCTGTCACTTTTCGTCTTTCTGTTGCCCCTCTTCTGTTGCATCAGCCACCGCAGATCTATTCACGCATTCATTGATCACGCATTCATTGATAACACATCATCAGTATACACGGACGGATACACTGCTGCATGCCGACGTGCATTTGCGGGGCAGGGTCACGACGACCTGCATGGGTTTAAGTTTACTGATATTGTTGTAGAGGTTTCCTTGACAAATGATGGGCCTGTGACTATAGTATTAGAGCAGAGCGCTCCTGAAGAGTCGACACCTTAATTTTTATGGCTGTGAAAACCTCCGCAGCTGCATGGGAATTTGTACGGAGCGTGACAGGGTACGGCTACGAGGGGGATGACCAGTCGGCGGGTGCCGACCACCACGTGTGCGGTGAGCACGCGCGTGTGGAGGCTGCTGGGGTCGAAGACGCCGCAGGGTCGAGCAGTGCCCCGGACGCGTTGGACTACCGCCGGTTCGAAAAGATAGTGGACTCATCGGACGAGGAAAAGGCGCCTGACGAAGCTACGGTGGTGCGCCAGAAAGCAGAAGAGGTGACGAGGACTCTCTTCAGCAGCGGCCAAGGCGAAGTTGAGGGGGAGGTGGAGGACGACACCAGCAAGTACTTCAAGGCGTCCAGTGCGATACAGGGCTGTGCACATGACCGGTCCAAAGAACGCGCGCTCTTTGAACGACCGAACGATGAAAAGCTCATGATGGCCAATCGTTTCCGTTTTGCCGGAAACGACAAATTTAAGGCCAAAGACTTTGAACAAGCCGCGTGCTGCTACTTAAGAGTAAGCCCAGCAATCCCACGATGAGTAATCCCGATAAGATAGCACGCTCTAGGTTGGCACATACACGTGTGGTTGGTACATACACGTGTGGTTGGTACATACACGTGTGGTTGGTACATACACGTGTAGGTGACACATGTATGAGGCAGGGTATAATTCAGTTGGAGTACACGTTTCCGGATACGCCGAGTGAGGAGGCGAGGTACAATGAGATTAAGTTGGCATGTCACTTGAACATGGCGGCGGCCAAGTTCAACCAGGATGACTATACAGAGTGCTTTGTGCAGTGCGGGAACGCGTTGCGGGTGGACCCAGTTTGTGCGAAGGCGCGGTTCCGGCAGGGTCAGTGTCACGTGGCGTGGTGTGAGTACACGAAAGCGCAAAAGGCGTTTCTCGAAGCGAAAGAAATGAATCCTGACTTGACGGCAGCCTGTGACCAAGCTCTCGGTCTGGTGGCCGCAGAAGCGAAAAGGGATACAAAGGGCAGCATATTCGAGGGGATGTTTACCTAGATTTTTTTGAGAAAATGTCGGAACCGGTAAGATCATTATGTTCGAGATGCATGATTATGTTTGAGTCACCCTTCAGAGGGGCCCTATCCATGCCCCTCTGAAGGGTGACTCAGAGGGGCATGGGTAGGGCCCGGGTTACAGAGACGGGGCCCGGGTTACAGAGACGGAGGCGTCACTGTTGTGGGGGGTGTTGTTGTTGCTTGTTGACGTAGTTGATGTAGGTGGACGAGGGACACAGTCCGGATGTACTGGAAGGGGTTCGGGCACGTGGCTCTGCTCGGAAGCGCGAGACTGTGACGCGCGAGAACGTGTTCATGGGCACCGATCGGATGCGGCCGGAGGAGAAGGAGCGGGCGCTTGGATGGGCGGTCGAGGCGGTGAACCGTTTCGATTCGGAGATGGACGTTGCGCGGTTCCTGAAGGACAACTTCGACTCAGCGTTTGGGGATAAGTGGCATTGCGTGGTGGGCCGCCATTTCGCCTCACATGTGTCCTATGAGAATGAACACTATATTTATTTTAAGATCGGTCGAGAGGTCATCCTCCTGTTTAAAAGCGGTGGAGTGGGCAAACCCGCGGGACACACGTAGGGACTCTTCGCATACAGGACGGAACCACCACATGACTGTCAAACCACAACCAGCTGTATGGAGCAACAGTATGGAGCAACAGTATGGAGCAACAGCATGGAGCAACAGTATGGAGCCATAACCAACAGTATGGAGCCATAACCAACAGTATGGAGCCATAACCAACAGTATGGAGCCATAACCAACAGTATGGAGCCATAACCAGCAGGGAGAAATCACAACTGGGTGAGGCAGAGCACGCTGAACACTGAGGAACGACAGAACGTGTGAAGAAGACCAGTGGAAAAGACTAGGAAGGAAGAAGACCAGGAATAAAACGAGTGAAGAAGAAGACGAGCCACCATCAAGAAAGCGTCCATTGAGACAAGGCAGGAGTATGACTGACTACCAACGCGAGCAAGCACGCGCTCGAGGACAGTTCAGTTCGTCCACAGTTTTGCGCGGAAACGACGTCGAGACTCTAGCCGTCAGTTTGCGAGACGAGTGAGTGCTAGCGAAACAAGTGCACATATTGAACCGGAAAAAAAGAACAGACATGTTGGCTGGGCATCGACTAGCTGACTAGTTGAGTAACTGACTGACTAGTTGACTGGTGGTCCAACTGTCTGTTGACAGGCCATCACCATTTTCTGAGAAACATATAGGTTAATCTCTTCAGCCTGAGGCACACGCTGGGAGACGCGAACATATATCGCACAGAGTTCAGCAGGCGTTCTTCAGACGACACGAAAGGAGGGCACGTTTTGAGCGGTGCAATACGTCTGTTGGTGGCATACGTCTGAGTTGTGCTATGTGTCGGGTGGGTGAGCTGTGGTATAAATCGGCGTATAAGGGGGACGAGTTAATTTTCGTTGCTTTGTTCATCCGCTGGGATGCCCATGTTGATGGTGAGTCTGCGGCGTCTACGAGACTGTTGTTTGGTGGTGTTGCCCTGTTCGTCTGACGGCGTTTCGTCGGTCGGTTTGCTCTGTTTGTCGACTTGTTGGTCGGACCGCGCGGAAACACTATGTCGCTCGGTAACGGAACGTTCACGGCCGAGTTCCCCGCGGCCTTTGCTGGGCTTCATAGCTGTGTTCAACGGCTCCTTGCTATCCACCGAACGCATCTTCAGCTCCTTTGCATGCTCATACTTCTCAGGCGCGGAACCCGAGACCTCAAATTCGAACTTCTCAGGCGCACCGGCGTCCAACGACGCCTGCAACGCGGCCGATTTCGCCTTCTCCGCCTTCTGACTTGCCGTCAGACTCTCCACCGCCGCTGGGTCACGCAAGTCCACCTCCTTCTTCTCCGGCTTCTGCTCGCCCCTCGCGCCTTCTTTTGCCTCTTGATGCATGCTTGCTCTCGTGGGCCAAACTTAGTCACGTCAACTTGGGGGGGTCAAGGCGGCGGGGGGGTTGCTTCTTTACGATGCCTCCACACATCACCTCTGATGTGACCTACCGATGTAGCGCTACTTCTTGCCCCCCTTCGCTTTCTTTTCCTTTTTCGCTTTGTCCTTGACGGCTTTGTCGTCCGCTCCAGTCGCGTTTCTGCCTTTAATGTCCTTGCCTTTAATGTCCTTGCCTTTAATGTCCCTGCCTTTAATGTCCTTGCCTTTAATGTCCTTGTCGTTGACCGTTTTTTCGTTGACCGTTTTTTCGTTGGCCACTTTGTCAAACGAAATTCCAACAGGGTCGGGGCCAGCGAGGGCTTGGAGGGGTGGACGTATGGGGAGGCCTAGTGCTTCGGGCATTGTGATGAGGCCGGTGGGCGGAAGCGCTTCGGGTATGGTATCGGTTGGAGCATGTTTCCTTTTGAACAAAGTGACAATGTTTTGAAAATCGTGGTTGCTCGGACCGGCGTCACTATCGGGTGGTGGTAATGCGCGAAATGGTACCGCACAGGTAAACATGTTAGGTAGGCGATCTACACGGAACCGCGGCAGGTATGATGGTCCATGACATAAATCCATGAACTCTGGTAGCCGGATGCGGGTCTTCTGACGCAAACCCAGATCAGCCATCAGATAGTCAAACTCTTCAACCTGCCCATACAATGTCAAACGCAAACAATGTGCAAGGGACCAGAAATGGAAGGGACCAGAAATGGATGGGACGGTGAGGAAATACAGATGGGAGCACGGGCGGGAATGGATGGGCGGGAATGGAGGGGCGGGAATGGAGGAAGTTGAAGCTGATAGTAGTACTACAGTTATACTGTAAAAGTTGCACTACACACTTCCTCGTTGTTCAGATGTTCTGTAACACAGCGCAACTTGTTGGCAGATAGCAGCGCAGCCACGAGAGGGGTGGATCCCAGGGGTACACCCAATCTGACCAAGTTCAATCGGACCAAGTCGGATTTGACCAAGTTCAAACGGACCAAGTCGGATTTGACCAAGTTCAATCGGACCAAGTCCAAGGGGAGTAAGTATAGGTAGGGCGCGCACATACACTTGGGATAATGAAAGGAAAAGCACGTACGATACGAGCCCTTCCAACTAAGTTGATCGCACAAAACGGCGAGAGTGCGATTTGACAAACACGCAGCATTTTGGTAAACGGTCACGACGTCATTGATATGAAAAGGAAAGTTAACGTACCGGGACTTGGTCACACTGTGTAGTTAGGCACCTCTTGAAGAAGCCCAGATCAACGGTATTGGTCCGATCCTTGTCGAAAATTGCGAACGCTTCTTCCAGCAATTCGCGATCGGGCTCTTCGTCAACCCGAGACAAGAAGAGAGACAGAGTTTCCTCAAAGTCCAAGCTCGTAATTCCTTTAGAGTTAAAATCTATAATGAACATAATATTTCCCGCAGCAATGCTGGCTCTCTCGCTCTCGCTCTATACTGCCGCAATCGCTTCAGCGATATTTTTAGCAATAGCTTCGATGCCTCCGGCTCAATTCGCCCCTTGCACCGTACCGCCACTCACTCTCCTACCGGCTTGTACATTTGTTCTTCACTCACATCGCCCATCACATTGTCAACTGACCACTTCGCACATACACTGAAGCACAGTCCCACAGTGAAGCACTGCAGCATACCCCCACCCTTCATACCCCCACAGTCAGAACTCATCTTGACGAAATGATATCCAACGTGCTATGACCAATCGAACACAGTCGTCGGTAGAGTAGACAGGCTAGGCGGGGAGTGAGTGTAAGCGTTGCAGAGACGGCGCATCGTTGCACGTAAGTTAGATAAATCTTACGCTGAGAGAGAATAAGTAGTTCCTTCCACGTATAGTGTTGATCCAGTGCTCGTAGCAAATGGACTAGGTTCTCCACTTTGACTGTACCCGGGTTGCTCCGGTCCTCAAACACTTTGAAAGCATCTTCCAATTCACTTCGTTGCTTCAAAAATCAACACTTAGTCTGATCTTAGTCGGTACAACAGGACCTCCAGCTACCTCCCCGAGCCGAGTAATCCTCCGACGATCCATAGAAATCCTTACTTTTGGAGACAACACAAATTCCTACATAGTTGACATGGAGTTCACTGTTGAGTTTTCACTGTTGATGTTTACAGCGCCCACGTTCCGCTAGTGCAAGACAAACACAAGATGCGTCACCCGGTACTTGCGTAAGTTCTAGATGCGGTGTGGCTTACTTTATAGCGATCCGAAGGAGCGCAATGACTCATTACACACGCGTGTGCTCGGCGTGGTGAGCGCAATAGACGGCCTGTCTTGGAGGAAGTGGAGGATGTCTGAGACAGGTTCCGGCTGGTAGTTCTTTGGGCGATGGGCGACGATGGGGTTGGGGGCGTAGTTGAGTCGATGGGATGCGCATTTTGGGTCTTTGACCATCGCGGATTTATGCGCTAGTCGGTCTGAAAGGCGTTTAACGTGGTTTTCCGAGGGCGGAAGACCTCCAGGGGACGTCGGAAGACCGTAGAACTCGCGACTGCGGAGAAGAATAAAACGGCGGCTGGGAGCGGAGGCTCGTGATTGGGCACAGGTATGGGAGTAGTTCGTAAACACGTCGGCCTTCCTCTTATCCGCAAAACTGCTTGCAGACGCAGCCTTCACTAGCGGCAAGGGGCTCACTCTACTCACGGGAGGGAAAGCGTCCGTAAAGTCGTAAGGCAGCGACTCGACAGAAGCCGGCGAGCGTTCGGCCGACAACTCAGGTGAGCGGTCGCTCGACAACTGGGTCAGGTCGGACGACTCACAAGTCTCGCACTCGTCTAGAAGTCCTGCTTTTGCCTCACCAGCTGACGGCTTCATGGAAAACTCAGAAAAAGATGCCAACACCACAAAAGCTCTGCGCCCAAGACTGGCCCACCACCCACTATGCCGACCAACAAAGTTATCAAGACACCCAACACGCCACCTCAGACACAGAGGTACTGCAACTGACAGATGAATGGAAACCTGCTAAAATTTCGTCACCAAGTGTTTCACCAAGTGTTCCATCATCACTAGGTAGTGTTTCATCACCCGTTGTGACAGACGCACCCAGTGCTACAAGTATTTCGCCAAGCGCCAAAGGTTCTTGGTGGAGCGCACCGCCTTTTCGAGACTACTGTGTTCCCCGAGAGGATACCGACCTTCAGGAAAGCACCGAAATGCCCGCGCAAGTCCCTGCTGCCAGACCCGATCACTTCTTACGACTCGGCTCCCCACACTCCACTTGGTCACGGAGTGCGGGTCATGCTGCCACTCTACACAAGTCTGTTCTTGCGCAGAGCGTGGCGCAGAACGCGGCGCAGAACGCGGCGCAGAACGCGGCGCAGAACGCGGCGCAGAACGCGAAAACGCAAAAGGAAGTACCCACCGGTCCCAACGCGTCCGGTGCTGCCTCTCCACCAAGTAGTGCGTCGCCAGCAAGTGCCTCGTCCTCCAGCGGGAATACCTCGTCCCCTTCCACGCCGAGCTCCAGCTCGGATTCGGCAGGGACCAGCTCCGAGTCCGGTGCAACCAGTTCTGGGTCGGAAGCAGCCAGCTCATGGAACCCTGCAACGACCAGTACCAGTAGGCTTCCTAGTCCTGACTTGAGTTGTTGGCTCAGCTCACGCAGCCATACGGCGAACAACTCCTCCACCTCGCGGTCGGGAGGATCGCACTTGAGTGGAAGCAGTCAATCAGACGAAGCCAGCCCTTCATCAGGAGGCAGTGGCAGCTCCTCCAACTCGTCCTCATCCAACTCGTCCTCCCCCACCACGTCTTCCTCGGTCGGAGGCAGCAACCGGACCAACGACGACAGCTCCGTTTTCAACACTGATGGGAGCAGCGCACGGTCGACCAATTTCAGTCCAGAATCCGCGCCGCTTCCAGGTCGGCCCGCACCCGACAGTCTTCTGACTAACACCTACCTCGACCCTCACGGTCCCCCAACTTGCAGCCCCCTAGACCCCCACAGTCCCGACGCCACGAAGGCCGAGAGCATGCTCATGAGGCCGACAGCGCCGCAGTCCGCTCCGCCTTTGTGCAAGACCGGCAGCTGTCCGAAACAGTCTCCCACCCCGGCCCCTTCCTCCTCGGGTGCGGCATCTGGCTCCTCCTCCGCCTCAGCGTCAGCCTCTGGCTCCTTCTCCTCAGCCTCTGGCTCCTCTTCAGCATCAGGCTCCTCATCGGCCTCCTCTTCTTCAGCTTCCTCCTCCGCTACCTCCTCCGCTACCTCTTCCTCAGCTTCATCCTCTTCGGCGTCGGAGTCGGGGTCGGAGGTGTCAGGGCAGTCGCCTGCGGCGGGTGAGGCGACTCCGCCGGGATGGTGGGCCCGTTGGTGGGCGCAGAGCAGTTTGCCGAAATATTTTCAGGACCTATCTCCGGAGCGGGAGGGAGGCGAGAAAGCGTTAGAGGGTTTAGGAAGGTACCCGCACTCAATATGAGCTTGCCGCAGCAGCAGGAGTCGGTCCCTGGGGTGGCGTCCCCGGACGACTGTGAGCATTATGCATTGCTTGGACTCGAACGCGCGCGGTGTCTGGAGTACACACCGCAACAACTTCGCCGGGCTTACCGGAAACAGGCATTGGCGCTACACCCGGACCGCTGCAGTGCCCCCAACGCCGCCGCACGCTTCGATGGTGTGAAACAGGCACTAGCCTTTCTACTCGACGAACCGCGTCGCCGTGAGTACGACCGAGCCTTCCTCGAGGCCCGCACGCGCCAGGCGCAACGCGACGCGCAAGCTCAAATCCGACAATCACTCGCCCAAGAATTGCTGCGCAAGGAAAGACAAGCCGAACGCCGACAGGTCGAACGACAGCAAGCAGGACAGAGACACGCGGAACAACCTGTTGGCACCAAGCGCCGAGACGCTCAGTACGCAGACGCTCAGTACGAAGGTGAAGGTGGGCGCAAAAAACGTCACAAAGGTGACGACTTAGTGGATCGAGGCATCCACGGCGTGGACCGGCGTGTCTGCCGCAGCGGATCGAGCGTGCCCGTTGACGACTTTAGCGACGACGAGGAGCTCTTTGCTGCTTTAGACGAACGGTTGAAGCAGCAACAAAAGAACAGCCAGTCAACAACCAGCCAGGTCACACCCAAAGTTGTCATCCCGTTAGATGAAAGCCCAGGTGCTTCTGAACCGTCTTCGGCAGGTGGGGAGCCAGCCACCGCGACTGTGCTCATCGAAGACGACTCGGAACTGATTGACCTGCGGAGCCCCGAAAGTGGCAGCGAATCCGCAAGTGAAGACGAGAAACTTTTGCTACAGCAATTGGTTAATATGATAAAAAGGGACAAGCAGCCCTGAACTACCGTTAGTGGATCCGTGGTTCTTTAGATTCATTCCGGTTATTCTTCATCTCCGTCTTTGGTATCCGTCTTCGGTATCTGTCTTCCATGTCGATCTTCGTAATCGTCCATTGGCGTTGTCTATCGCACGGGTCCGGTTTCGGTAGGTTAGGTTAGGTTACGCTCGGAAGGTTCCCAGCTGTGGCAGTTCCATCACATTGTACCCGTATTGCGGGTGTTAATGAGCTCCGAGTCCAGCGAAGCACTTCTAGGACAATCTAGGGCATGTTGAGTTTGGCGGCCATGCGCTGTTGAAGTACGTCCGGGTCGTTAACCATGTCGGGTTGCATCTGTCGGGCCTCCTGGCCGAGGTTTTCTATTACGCATAGTGATGGAATTGCGCCGGATGCGGCCATGGCGACGCGTTCTCGCATTTGCTGAGTCTGCATAATGGCTTGATCGGTGAGGTATTCTGCGGGGAGGGGTACTTCTGTGAAAGAGGGTACGAAAACGGGGAAGGGAACTTCCTCGTATTCGGCCTGCAGTGCGGGCAGCTTGAAGGTTTGATTGATGGTATGTTCCATTGGAACAGGGACAGTGCGATGGATTTGTTGAACAACTTCCACTTCTTTAAACTCTGGGACTTCCACTTCTACATATCGGGGTACTGGCTTCTCAATGATCTTCTCCACGATCCGTACTTCGGGTACCTCAACGGTCTTAGGTACTGGGATTTCTTTATATTGAACAACCTCGTACTCTACTTCCTTCTCACGGTCCACGAACACGGGCACTTCCTTGACTACTTCCTGGGTGCTCCACACGTCCTTGTACACCACGACCTCCTTGGGCACAACCTGCGGCACTTCAACGATCTTGTCACGCGTTACAACTTGGATGTCATCCACATACACCGGCTTCTCAACGGGCTGTGCGACCTGCACAATACGCTCCCTAACAAGCTTCTTCTCTTCAATCATCTCCTCTTGCTGGATCTTCTCGGGGACAACGACCACCTTTTCCACGATGCGCTCAACTAGCTTCCGCACCGGCTGCGTAATCTCGTGTTCAATCACTTGCTCGCCAATCACCTTCATACCTTGATAGTACAAGTCTTCCTGTTGCATACTCATACCCGTCGCCTGAGCCACGTAAGACTGTGATGCACTGGTACTCGTCATCTGCTGCTGCTGCTGCTGACTCATCTGCTGCTGCTGACTCATCTGCTGACTCATCTGCTGCATACCACCTCCCATCATTGTCAGCCCACCAACTTGATGCGAAGATGAAGCCTCAGAGATCAACCGCTGAGGGGCATTCACAGGTCCTGAATTCGTGTGACCCGCCACGAAAGAGCTTTTTCGGGAGGCACCCTCACTGTTCCCAGTCACCACAGCAGTTGTAGTCTGACTAGAATATTGCATAAGATAAAAATGAGGACCAGTAAATACGGCTGCACCCGACGACTTCAAAAGACACACGATGTCTTTTCCACAGTCGTACTATCACGCCTCAAAGCATCTGCGCCCAAGCAGCCAAAGTTGCTTCCCAAGACGACCAAGCGTGTCGAACCACGAGACTCCGCACTAAACGTTACGAACACAAACAACTACAACAAGTCGTCGGGGGTCGGAACGTCGAGTCGTTTGGTGGACTCCGACCGTTTGGTGGACTCCGACCGTTTGGAGGAGGGCGAGGTGATAACCTCGGGTCTATTGTTGCTGCACAGTGACCCAGTGCGTTATGGTGTGATTTCGTTTCTCGATCTGTTGGGACTGGTGCGGTTGGCGTGTTCCTGTCGTCGACTGTACCAATTGTGTCTTTGCTCCGTTGCCTTGTGGCGCCATCATTTACTCTGGGACCGCGGGTTGTTGGGTCACCTGAGCGCGGGCGATCGGTTGCTCGCGAACCCGCCATTGTCACCTACTGAACGCTGGGACCCTGAGGCTCGCTGCTGGACGAAACGCGTCCACTACATCACCAGTAAGGCAGCTTAACGCAGAACGATCTCACTCACGGGCTGGCACACACGCACTCACGGTCAGCGCAAGCATGCCGGGTGTGTGTCGTGTTTGCCGCGTGTGTGCGAGTTGACGTTTCTGTAGACGTGTCCGCTACCAGTCCGACAACCGCTAGTGGGACGACAACCACTAGTGGGACGACCGGGCCTCGGGTTGAGGTCCTGGTGTACCGGCTCTGGGGCCGCGTGCACTTGGATGAACTGTTGTGGCTGCTGGGTGCGTCGTTAGTGATCCGAACCGGCCATGGCCTGGTCGCATTGGATACGGCAACCGCGTGCATCGTGGCGCCGCGACACCAGATCTGGAAGAAGCCACACGCAACTTTCGTCCAGCAACTCATTGACAACTACTACGTGCTCTACGACCGCATGTGGCATGCCATACTCGACGCCGGCACTAACCCAGACGCTGACGGAGACCCCATGGACCAGGACAGACACCGCGGGGACCAGGACGGAGCCCGTGGGGACCAGGACGGGGACCGTGGGGACCAGGACGGGGACCGTGGGGACCAGGACGGGGACCGTGGGGACCAGGACGGAGACCGCCAAAACCAGGACGGAGACCGCCAAAACCAGGACGGAGACCGCCAAAACCAGGACGGAGACCGCCGGAACCAGGACGGAGACCGCCGGAACCAGGACGGAGACCGCCGGAACGCAGAATACGGGATGGGAGGCAATGGTGCACAGGCGGAGTCAGGCCCGTTCGGACCGGGACGGGGCGAAGCCGGGGTCGCTGGCGACGAACCTTGGACGCCCACCCGCGGGTCTACTCACACACCTGTCCAGAGACACCCGTGGGGCGAAGTTGCGATTGCGAGAGACTTGACTGTGACAGAGGCAGCGGCCGAGAACAGGCGGGCCGCTGTACCCACGGGTGCAGTGGTCAGTGGCGCACAGACCAGTGTGGCCAGTGGTTCGTGTTTGCTGAGGTCAGTGGTGGGTCCGCCGCGCATCGAGTCGGTCTTGGGGGGTCCGTTCTATCGGAAGCGTGAGATGCAGATTTCGTTTTCACCGATCGGGTACTTGAAGCTCAAGTACCTCACGAGCTGCTGCGATTTCCCCGGCCATTATTCTCGGCCGCTGGTGCGTGACGCGATCGAGTGCTTGGTCGGCTGTGTGACGAACATTAACCGTGAGAAACAAATCTACTTGGGAGCCGACAACCTGGGCGCGAAACTCGGCGAGGACGCTCCCTCCCTTGAGGACTTCAAGCGGGTCCTTAGGGGGCAAACACCACCCGCCTAACCTGCCGGCGTCCGCGTCGACTGGCCGAGTTCCGTCAGTGGCAGGTGCTTTAGACTTAGGTGGCGGGGGGAAGGGTACCGTTGTGCATAAGGAGGGTCGAGGGGGTGATTGTATAAGGCTGGGATATAACAGTGGGGTATATTTGGTCTTGTGCGTGGGGGCATGGCTGAGTTGTGCATGACTCTCAGTGGGGGTGCAGGGGAGATGAGATCATGCCACAACTGGGTGATGCCTCTGCGGGGTGAGGCACACGCGGGGCGGTGGGTATAAAAGAGTTAATGAAATTTGCAGGTGTGGTGGCGTTGTATGGAGTCATTGTCGGCGGTAAGGTTTTGAGATTATTGGCGACGGATGAATGTAAGAGTCGGTTATTGGGGTGTTCGTTGAAGAAGCCGCTGGACTGTTCGGTGATTTGCGAACCCGGTCCGGCGTTGGTTGAATCTGCAGTGAGCGCGGCGGCGGGCGCTGCGATCTTGGTGCCAGAGAGTCCGTTGGACAACAACGAGCCGCCGGTGGCAGACGAGAACCCGTCTCGGCGTATATTATCGGAGGCTGAAGCGGGAGTGGAGGCGAAGTTTGGAGCAGCGGAGATCGGAGGAGTTCCCGCGGTTGCAGTGGCGGAGGCAGGCGAGCTACTACGTAACGAGGACGAGGCGAAGGTCGGGTTTGAGGAAGTGGGCTCCGTGCCACGAGTGGGAGGTGGAGACGAGCCAGTGTGGGCGGCCAGCGAGGCTGCGGCAGGTGTGCAAGGTGGTGGGTCAGAAGGTGGTGTGGGTAGGTGTCAGAATGTCTGCGTCGATAATCGGATTCAGCTGTGCGTATTGGATAATTTATGTGACGAGCCCATCCAGTTGACGGAGCAGTGGAACATTACGCACTTTTGTCTTGCGAGCAATGGACATAAGGGCGGCTGGGGCTTCCGACTACCGTTGGCGGTGGCCGTGGACCCCTTCCGGATCCAGCAATTGGTCTTCGACTCGGAACTATTTCCCGCTACCGAGCCACAACACATTGTCCAAGACCCTACCATCGAACTTCAAGTCGGAGTCATGATCGATAACGCTCCTCAATACGCTGATTCCGTCATGCATAGCTGTCTCATCGAAGATAACCCTGGCATTAACACCATCGCCACTCTAGCCAACACACAACTCACTGACGGCTCACGACGCATACATTTCGAACTCAATGACCCCGTCTTCCCCACTGAGAAGAATATTATCAAGGGTGAGACGTTCTTGCTCACCATTACCGCACCCGCCGTAACACTCGCAAACGGCGGCACCATCCCCCCTCCACTCGACAAGACCCTGCTCACTCTCGTACACACTCTTGGCTAGCCCTCCCCGGGGACGACCCCCCACCCCTCCCCCCCGCCGCTTCGCCGCTTCGCCGCTGAGCGTAACTATCCCTTTGTTGGTACAGCCTGCGAGGTTTCCGTGCTACTTCCGTTTTTCCGGGCGTACTGTCGTGTCCTATTTCCTACGACCCGGGTTTTTTTCCGGCTACCTCGCGCAGGGCAAGGTGGGGGGGGGGGGGGGATCGGTCGGCTTTTCGAAGGGGTTCTAGAAAGCTCCATCGCCAAAGACGTCTAGAGTGACGCATTCGCTGTCCGGTTGGGGGGTTATGGTGACGAGCATGGATTGGGTTTGTGACTAAAACAAGTATAGCGCAGGAGTCTAGTTGTCTACGGTGATGGTTTGCGCCTTGCGCAGTCTGGAGATGGTAGATCGCGCCACAGCGGCGGCGGTTGTGCCGAAAATCCAGGCACCTCCAGCCATGGTTTTGTTGCAGCCCTTGCACTTCCAGACGCCGACGGCTTGGCGTTTGACGGTGGTCTTGCCGCAGAAAGCGCAGACGTATTTGGAGTGCGCACTCACGAGAAACTTGCGCGCCATTTTACGCAGAGAGGCGCCATATCGCACACCGTAGCGTCCAGCAATACCGACCTGAAGAAGAATGCTATGTCATCCCAGTATCCCTACCTTCTTCGTTCTGCGCGCCATTTCCTGCTCGTGTACACCAAAAAAAGCCCGCGGGCAAAAATGCCCCGTGTTCTGTCTAACTTTCTTGCCGAAATTCGTGCACCGACCCAGCTCTGACCCACCTTTCACCCCCCGGCACTATCCACCCCACGCCTGACCTCCGGCCGGCCGGCCGGCCGGCGGGCGCTCCACTTCCTCCCTCCTCCCGACCCCCTTTGGACTTTTCGGGACACACGGAACATCGGGACAGGAAAAGATGCGTTGGGTGCTGGTTAGTGCAGCAGTTAGTTGGGCGGAGCGGCGTGTCTTCGGCGACGACTTGGAGGTCGTGGCGCTGGAATTGGACGCAGAGGATTTATTCCCGCAAATACAGGATGGGCTCGAAATTGCGACCCCCGTTGTGGTTGAGGGCATGGCCCTCACGCAGCTGCCCTTCCCCATTGCGCCCGATGATGACGAATGGGTATGGCGTTCCGGCTTCCACGTCGGGCAGCCAGAGTTGGACACAAAGTCAGACGCACACGCAAAGTCGGACGCACACACGGGGGGGTGGATGGACGGGCAATTTAAGGAGCAGGAGGCGACCGTGAAGGTGGGACAGTCGGTAGTGGTACGGCTACCGGTGACGCATGGTCCGAAGCGTGAGTATTTATGGAAGTTGAATGCCACGTATGACGAAGATACATTTTTGTTGAACCGCGAGCATTTGGAAGCTAATCGATTTGCGTCGAGTGCGAGTCTGCAGTTTATTTTGGAGAACTCCGGTTATGTCGCACCTCGAACAGCGGAAGAAAGCGCTTACCAGCAACTTGTATTCAAAGGTATCCAACCTGGTATAGCAAAGCTACCATTTCTTTACAACCGTCCATGGTACAATGATCTGCAGCCAGGTGGTGCTGCTACGTTTGTGACTGTGCGCGTATTGCCCAGGAGACGTGCTCCCATCCACCCAGTTACTAAGACATCGTTCACTGTCTATAAAGGTCAACACCTTGAAATCAAACTTGGTAACTCACCAACGCAACAGTACAACCTATGGAAATTGATGGAAATCTTCGACACACGAACTGGACATATTCTTCCTGGACCGGAGAAACCCTCTCTCCTCGAATTCATCTTTAGCGAATCCGGTTATGTACCCCCCGTTTTACCCGAAGCCGCACATTTCAACAACACCGAACACTATTCGGGACACAGAAAGGAAACACCACCGGCTAAGGACGGACAGGGACACGCCCACAACGACAAAGAGAAGCGCGTCGCCAACAAAGACGCACATGCCAAACCTGTTGCCGACTCGGACAGGACGCACACACAAGAGCCGGACACACAGGGTTTGGATGCAGACACACCCGGCTCGAAACCGAGCCCGGCGCAAAAACACGCCGAAGAACAGCCCGTGGGACAAAGCGGGGGCAGCGGCCGCGGTGCGTCGCCGGTGATTCGGAGCGCGGGCTACCAAAAGTTCACCGTCTTCGCGCGAGCGCCCGGCAGACAAGTCCTCCACTTCGCCTTCCTCAAACCGTGGCTCCCCGACGACCAACCGGACCGGACCACGGCCATCATCGACGTGGTGATTCTGGACAGACAGAGACCCGGACGCCACCGATCTTAAGTCGGGGAAGGGCTGCACACGCGCGCGCGCGCGCACATAAAGTCTGCCGTGAAATCGCGGTGAAGGAATATCCCTCGTCTGCTAATATACCACGATCCGAAGGCGCCACGACCGGAAGGCGCCCTGGCCGGGAGGGGGGATGCCCATTCTAACGCTTAACGGCATGTTAACGGTCGCGTTTGAGTGGTTAAAAAAACGCCGCTCAGGCGAAAGACAGATTTTTTGCAAGACTTACCCGCCACCACACTCGGCTGCCGCCACACTCGGCTGCTACCACACTCGGCTGCTACCACACTCGGCTGGCAGAGTAACAGGCCGCAGATTGGCGGAGTTGTCCGGGGTTCGTAAATCGACGACGCTGGGGAGGGAGGGAGGGAGGGAGGGGGGGGAGGGTTGCATGCGATGTTCAATTGTGGCGGTTGTGGAGGCGGGAACCCGTTGTCTTTGTTGTTCGGATCGCCAAGCGCGCCGGCGGAGGAGGAGGTGTCGATGTCTTCGATTGAGTCGGTGATGGCAGAGAACTCTGCGTTGGTGGCTGAACAATGGTTTCCGTTGGTGCATCCGCGTGTGTACGAGAAGTGGGGAGAAGCAGCGCGGCCGCAGATCCGATCGGTGTTGACGGAGATAGCGAGGAATTCACGCGGCGATCCGGTCGGGACCGAGGAGGCTTGTGTGGAATGGAAACCTGCACGACTAGAAGTTCACATGTTCGACGGGCGCAGCGTCAAACTTACCGACGTACGACGCGCCCTCGCTTTCCTCTTTGTAGATGACGATTCCTATCTGGCCCTCATGAATCTCGCCCGTGATGAAAATGAACCACTCGAAACTTTGTGCAATAACCCACGATGTGCTAACATTCGTCATGTCGTCATCCCCGATTAACTCTTTGGGACATACATCCCCGGGTAAGCTGTCGGAACCGACGGAACGGAACTGACGGAACGGAACTGACGGAACGGAACTGACGGAGTGGACGGGAGAAACCACCGGTGGGATGGAATCACAACTGCGCTGGCGGCAACGGGGACCACTTACTGACCGCCGGGACTTACCGAGGACTTACCGAGGGGGGAGTGTCTGACCGTGGTCGGAGCCAGTCAGTCGGAGTGGGATCAAGTTATGTTGAGGACGGACGAAGTTGGAGCTTCGGTATGTGAGGCTGTTGATTGACTGAACCCGCTGAGCGACG